AACTTCCCCGTGAGAGATTAAAGGTGGGAGTTACAATTCACAAAAGAGATGACAAGAAATACAATGACATTGATTAACCCACAAAGGCAGAGTGTAGCCAGGCACCCCGGCACAGGAACAGAACAGTGTTCATTAGTCCCTGTGCTGAGCACCATGTGGTCCCTCTGCATGAAAAGCAAAAGGAAAGAAACAAAACCTGATGGTTGGAGTGGTGGTCACAGTCTTTTCAAAGTGATGGTCACAGTCTGGTGGAAAGCGATGGTCACAGTCCTGTTGGAGTTCTGCTCCTCCTCCAGATCTGTTGAGTAGTGCAAGAAATCCCCAATCCCAAAGACTTTATATGCTCAGGTTCAGCAGGGAATGCTCAGTACCTCCCCCAGGGCAGGGAGTTTCACAATGGAATGATGTCACCCTGTGACTCATGGGACATTTTGGGGGGTCCTTGATGGTGTTAGTCCTTGCATCTCCCCATTGTGCTGGTGCCATTGAGTCCATGATGGCCCATTAGCAGAGGTGACCCCTCAGGCTGGGTGGGACTGTGCTGGTGCTCCCCTGGAGGGAGTTATCACAGCTGAGTGTGGGGTGTGAAGAAAAGGAAACACTGCCCTGCCTGGAAGGCTTTGTCTCTTCTTCCTTATCTCATTTAACACCCAGCTCGTAGCCTGAGGGCTCGGGGGTGCACTGGGCAGCTCCAGCAAATGACCCATCACTAGCAGCCCATCAGAAATGCCCCAATGGGCGTAGAATGCCCAGTGTGGTTATACCCATAGAGTGCTGAACTGGCACCCTGCTCCTGTAACCAGGATGGGCTGGCACTGAAATATCATTCTAAGATCTTGCTCCACTGGGCTTTCAGCCAAGCAACCCATAAGCAGGGTCCCTTCCCATCCAAATCATTTGGTGATTCTGTCAGACACTCACTTCCCTTTCCTTCTTCCCTCTGCTTTCAGCTGGGAATGTGCTGGCAAATGTCCAGCAAAGCAGCCTTTGCTGCCTGCTCTGAGAAACCACAGAGCTGCTGGACCTTGTCACCTGCCCCTGCACAGCAGAATCAGCACTCTGCAGGCCTCGGGAATTGCAGTCTGGGATCCATGGCACACATTTCAGGGCTCCAGAATTCCAGATTCCAGAAAGGAAAATACAGACAAAG